TCTGCTCCTTCAATCCCGGGCTGCTCAGCTACGTTCAGCACCAGCTGCAGTATGTCTGGATGCATGTCACGTGACAGTAGCAGGAAAGGGGCTTCCCAGGATTACCCAGGTGGACTTGCAGAGGCAGGGAGAGGCAGCACGGCTGGTCTGATGGAATGCCATCAGGTTCATCAACATCTCTGCTCCTGCTCTCAGTCTTCTGGTAGTGTCAGCGTCTCCTAGACCTGGCTCTTCACATGGCTGCCAACTGCTCCCAGGTTACCCCCTGCCCTGTGAGCATCCAGGGACTTCAACTATTCATGGTTAGAGGACTCCCAGCAGCAGGATTATCTGTGATACCCAATAAACACTGACTCTTAACAGAATAGCTTTGGCCCATTTGCATCTGATTTATCTGGGGAAGACATTTAATAAATATCCTAGATCCCTGGCCCCTTTCCTGACCTACTAAATCTGCTTCTGGAGGTGGTCCTGTCTATGAGATATGGATTTTAGCCATACCTCTCTGTTGCTTGGAACAGGCTGGGTTCCCCCAAGCTATCCTGGAGTGATTAGTGGTAGTGTTGCCTTTCTTCTGCACAGTATCCCAGGTTGGACTCTAAATTGTCTTCCCTGCATCTGACAATGCAGAGCCCAGAAGGGAAAGGACCCTGGGGATAATGAGCCAAGACTTCCCATCTGTCTGGCACCATGCAAGGGGCACGGGTTCCAGAGCCAGCTCAGCCACTTCCAAGCTCATTCAGTAAGAACCTTCCCCTGCCTTGGCCCACCTCCTAGCCTGCAGTGTTGGGGGTAAGAGCGCCTCCCTCCCAGGGTTGGGGGAGTGCGCTGAGTGTCTAACCGAGGCACCCCCACCCAGGGTGGCACATCAAGGCAATCAGCTGCTGGCCTCAGTATCCCCTACCCCCACCCCAGGCTCTGAACTCCAAAGGCCCTGTCACCAGGGCCCCACGTGCGAAGGCGGCACCAGACAGGCTGTGGGAGCAAGCTTCACAGCTTTTGTCAGAGTGGCATAATAAAGCCCCCAAATGTCTGCTCTTTGCAAGCCAGGATGGCAGATCAATTGTGGCACAAACAAAATAGCAGGCACAGTGCAAGCCCCGGGGACAGATCACGCCTCTGCGGGGTGTGACTGGAGGGGAGGAGGCACATCACACACACGGCTGGGTTTGTCTTTTCTTCACTTTGAAGCTCCTCTGCTGATCCAGTCCGGCTCCCTGCAGGCTGCTGAGAGTCTGAGAGACTGCTCCCCACCCCCAGGAAGCAAGCAACCCAGCAGTGGTGTCCGGCATACGCCCCACTGCCCTTGGCAAGAAGCCTCACCTAGTACCCCCCAAGCTCTGGGCCTGTTCATGGCAGGTAGAGACTGTGGCCCCAATGTGTCTTTAGTCCTTAGGGACATCTAGAAATGTTGACTAAATGAATGCATGAATAAGCACAGGTTGGTCTTAGCAACAGCTTCACTGGGGCTCATGGCCCAGTGCAAACTCTGGGATCTGGGATACCCCTATGCAGGGGGAAATGGGCTGCAGGAGTCCAGCTCAGTCACCCACAGAGAATGCAGGTTGGAACCCAAAGCCCAAACTGCAAAGAAGGTCCCTGGCAAAGGCCAGGAGTCCCGACATGGAGGGGAGTGGAGGCATCTGATGGTGCCCCCAGAGAGGGAAGGAGATGGCCATGGCCCCACAGAAGCAAGTGCTGGGGAGGTTCCAAAGGAGATCCCGAGTACCCAAATTGACAGCCAGAAGCAGCAGTTCTCCCTGTACCCCATTTCGCAAGCCCTGGGTCAAGTCTTCTGCAAGCAACCCGACTTGGCTCGTGTCTGGGAAGGAGAGCTCCCCTGTGTGGTGATGGAGGAGCTGTAGCCCTTCTCCCCGTGCAGCCAAGGAGGGAGCAGGGATCCCAGAAAGAGCGTGGAGGATAGAGGATTGTTGGGGACAAGAGTCGCGGCTCTGAGGGGGGCAGCAGCAGTGAACTCCTCACAGTGTTCCTGGGGACAGGCTGGTGTGGGCAGGGGTGGCAGCCCCAGCTCTGCTGTCATGCTGTGGAGCTATGGCCACTGCTTCCTCTCACCATTGGCAGCATCTCGGCAGGTGTCAAGAGTCTTCCAAAGAGCTACCGTAGGATTGACTCCTACTTGGGTGTTAAATGCAACCTTCAAATGCATCCTAAGCAAGCTTAGTGCTCCCTCTATGACTCAGGGGCCTGCAGTCTGCTGCACGCTCTGGGACTTACAATGCAGCCACACACATTCTTTCTTAGATAGTGCTGGAGATGCGGCAGGACCCCCAAGGCACTGTTGCTTATTGTGACACAGCAAGTGCCACAAGTGCAGACTGCACCCATCACTTCCTCCCTTGCCAATTAGCCTCACACCCAGACAATGCTCTATCCCAGCTTGAGACTGCAGAGCACACTGTCCTAGAACTTGAACCATTTCTCACCTGAGTACCCAGCTGGAGGCTGCACAGTGCTGCAGCTCAGTCAGCCTCCCATAGGGATGTGGACTTTTGGGGTCTGCCTCTGCTGAACCCAGAGGTTCTCTTGACCTTCCATGTGGTTTGGGGGTGGATGGAAGATACCATGGCACCCCACTGCCACAACAGGGATCTCTCATTCCATGATCCCTGGATAATTCCCACCCTTTCAGTTGTGTGTGTGTGTGTGTGTGTGTGTGTGTGTGTGTGTGTGTGTGGTAACAGGGGGGAGCTCATTCTCACAACCATTTTGCCGCTGTACATTGGGAATAACAAGAGTGGGTATCCGGCCAAAGATTAAGGTGTCCCTTGGGACTCTCACATCTCCAAGCACTTCAGTTCAAGACCCAGCTCTACTTTCAATTCCAGCTTCCTGCTAATGCAGAGCCTGGGAGGCAGCAGGTGATGGCTCAAGCCATTGGATCTCTGCTGCTTGCATGGGAGACCTGGATTGGGTCCCAGGTGCCTGGCTTCAGTCTCAGCTGTTATGGGCACATGGGAGGTGAATTGGAAGATGAGAGATCTCTGTCTTTCCCTCGTTCTCTTTCTCTTTCACACGAAATGGAAAGGGTGTGTGTGTAATATAATGAGGAGTAACAAACTGCTCTCAGCTTTGAGGTTTTAGCTGAAAAGCCTAGAAATGAGGGAGAACGTGTCAACATTCTTTTAGCAGCAGGGTTAGTTCCCGTTCAGGCTTTTCCACTTCTTCTGGAATTTAGCTGATCCCTTCCCCAGAGGCTCAGCTTGCCCTCTGTGGGCAGAGCAGCACTATGTCTATTCATCGAAGCACCAGGCAGAGACCAGGGCCCATGCTGGTAGCCTGTCCTGACCAGAGCTGTCCCTTCCTAAGCTATAAGTGACCAGCAGGTCAGAAGGAAGGTTCCAGGTGCTTTCCAGTTCTAACAGTCTAGAATTTTCACAGGAGTTTTCTTACTAGAATACCTCTAGAGAAAAACATCATCAATACAGTCTGACAATTACAGCACTATCATTTGTGTATCTACCATCCGAGTCCACAAGCCATCTCGAACACCGCTAAAATCATATGCGTTCCCCAGTCACTATCCTTGCCATGACCCCCCACAACCCCAATTCTCACTTTTATCAAAATAATTTCTCCTTTTTGCCTTATAATTTCAACATTCAAGTAGGCATCCATTTGGTTTTGCTGATTTTGATCAGAACATATTCTTGTGTGCCTGGCTTCTTTTGTTCAGTGCCATTGGGAGATGCATCCATGTTGCTGTCAGATGCTGGGGTTCCTGCTTTCTCATTGCTGCATAATACTCCCACAGTGTAGCTGTGTTGCTGAACATTGGAATTACTGAATTAGGTCTTTTTACACACTCACACTCCCACTGTACAAACAACCGTATCAGTTCAGAGCTAACTTCTTTATGAACTCAAGCATAGCAAAATCCTTCCATTAAGTTTCTGCCAATGCTGCTACATCTCCCCCCACTCTACTGTGGCCAAATTCTGACCCTAGGGACACAACCCATCTTTCTCGATACAGGTGATGTCACAAGACTCCCCACCTGGGTTCAGAAACAGAACATGGTGGTCAGGTAACACTGTATTTCCTCCGTGGAGTCTAGGAAACAATGCATATGCCTGGGCCACATCAGGAAAACACGGGATAGCCAAAGAAGACCCAGCTCTTGCCCTCCCTCCAGGGCTGCCCCCTGCCACTTTCCCATCAGCAGCTCTAAGGGAGCCCTGCCTGCTGTCGGGAATTAAGCAGGAACTTCTCCCACAGCTTCTGCTGCCAGAGGCTTTGAGAGGTGCCAGAGTGCTGCTCACAGTGTGGCTCCAAGGAGCAGGTGCACTTCCCCTTCTGGGCAGAATCAGTCCCCTCCCAGAACCAGAGCTGGACTACAGGCTGGGGTTTGAACACAAGGCCATGAGCAGTGGTAGCCCAGACACAGGGGCAAACCGACCAGGGACGCCCCCCCCCCCAGCAGCACAGGACGACCTGGGCCAGCAGGTGGCGTTGTAGGGGTGGGGAGACTGGGAGCGGAGGAGCTGACCTCAAAGGGCAGAGCCTGGGTCTCTCCCCTCCTTTTTTTTTTTTTTATGTCAGCTCCCAAAAGCCCTTCTCAGAGGCGGGTAACTCTAAGCACCTGATCTCACTTCACCTCGTCCCAGCATGAGCGACCCAGCTAAGGCAAGGCCTTTACCAAATGCCGCCAAGGTCATGTTAATTTAAAAAAGAATAATTTAAATGGAGGTGGAGTAGGTGTCCTTTGTTGGTTCTGGGAACATCTCAGTAGCAGCTTGCTCCTGTTTCTGTTTTGAGTGTCCTGATGACTCGCTCCATGCCATTACTCCCCAACAATCAGCTTAGGGCATTGCCAGGACTGGAACCCCACCTGCTGCCATCAAGCTAGAGAAAGGTCTCTACAGATGGCCCCTTCCCCATCAGTGGCCCATCAGGGAGAGGGGAGGCACCGCCCTTCCCAGATCACATCATGTCTGGCCTCAGCAGGACATTGCTAATGTTTGCCTCGCGTCTCTCCACAGGTTTTGGCATGACCACCCCCGCGACGGTGGGCGGCAAGGCCTTCCTCATCGCCTACGGGCTGTTTGGCTGCGCAGGGACCATCCTGTTCTTCAACCTCTTCCTGGAGCGCATCATCTCGTTGCTGGCCTTCATCATGCGCACGTGCCGGGAGCGCCAGCTGCGCCGCAGCGGCCTGCTGCCCGCCACCTTCCGCCGTGGCTCGGCGCTGTCCGAGGCCGATGGGCTGGCTGGCTGGAAGCCGTCGGTGTACCACGTGCTGCTCATCCTGGGCCTGTTCGCCGTACTGCTGTCGTGCTGCGCCTCGGCCATGTACACTAGCGTGGAGGGCTGGGACTACGTGGACTCGCTCTACTTCTGCTTCGTCACCTTCAGCACCATCGGCTTCGGCGACCTGGTGAGCAGCCAGCATGCTGCCTACCGGAACCAGGGGCTCTACCGCCTGGGCAACTTCCTCTTCATCCTGCTCGGCGTGTGCTGCATCTACTCCCTCTTCAACGTCATCTCCATCCTCATCAAGCAGGTGCTCAACTGGATGCTGCGCAAGCTGAGCTGCCGCTGCTGTGCGCGCTGCTGCCCGGTGCCCGGTGCGCCCCTGGCCCGGCGCAACGCCATCACCCCGGGCTCGCGGCTGCGCCGTCGCCTGGCCGCGCTGGGCGCCGACGCCGCCGGGGCCCGCGACAGCGACACCGACGGCCGCCGCTTGTCGGGCGAGCTCATCTCCATGCGCGACCTCACGGCCTCCAACAAGGTGTCGCTGGCGCTGCTGCAGAAGCAGCTGTCGGAGACGGCCAACGGCTACCCGCGCGGCGTGTGCGTGCACACGCGCCAGAACGGCTTCTCGGGCGGCGTGGGCGCGCTGGGCATCATGAACAACCGGCTAGCCGAGACCAGCGCCTCGCGGTAGGCGCTCCCCGCCCGCGCCCGGGGACCCTGGCCAAGGCTGCACTTCACCCAGACGCTGGAGCTTTCTTAATCTTAAATAAAATGAAACCAAAAAAAAAAAATTTTTTTTTAAACAGAGATGCTATTTGGCTAGGCTTGATGTTATCACGGGCAGGTTTGGGGAGAACTGTTCACCTTATAAGCTCTCCCTCTTGGAGACCCCTGCGCTGCAGCAGATTCCTCCGGCAGGGAGAGAAGAGGTGGCCGCAGCCCCGCGCCCAAGGCACCCTGCAGAGGAGAAGAGCCAGCCGGCCCAGCACGAACTCGTCCGCAGCTGGCAACCCCGCAGCCTATGGTGCAAGCTTCCCGGCTATGAATTACCTCCACAGCAGTTAGAGTCCTAGCCCAGCCCAGCAGCTTCCTTCTGGTCGTCAGAAGCGCTGGAGTCACAGTTTTGACAGGTGGGGGTGGGGCGAGCCATCTGTTGCCTCTCGGTGTGTATATATAGCACAGCGGCTCCGTACGCAGAGTTGGGCGGCGCGTAGTATTATGCAATGAGATGAGGCGGCACCCTGCTCCGGCGCTGTGGCATTTCCCCCAGATTTGGAAATTGCCATGGTAAGGGGCGGAGCTGGCCTTTCTCAGCCTGGAGTTAGTCCTCTGAACTCAGCGTCCGGAGTAGCTACTTCTTAGGGAGGGGGCGGAAGGAAGGGGGAACAGATGCTCTGCAGGGAGGGAGGCCTGCTCTGCCCTCCTGCCCCTCCCCCAGCTCTGAGGATGCCTGCACACCCCCGACGCACACCCCACTTCCTTTTGCCAGTAGCAGCATCTGGAATGCTTTTCCCTATTAGCCAAAATATCTTGTCAGGCCACAGTTGTCTTTCTTGGTGTGGTATTGTTTTTGTGGGATGCGATCGGTTGGACTTTTCCCCTTCAGAGACTCTGGGCTCAAAGAGCGCAGCCCCTGAGCTGCCCCTTTTCCTTGTCCAAATCTCAATCACCTCACCTTCGGGAGACTCCAAAGAGCCATTCTGCAAATGTCAAGGGCATTCATTTGGGCTCCTGTGCCGCTGGGTGCCTGGGCGTAGGAGCAGCAGACAAATCTCCCCCGAATCATGCTTGGTCTCTGCTAGTTCTCAAGTGTGTTTGTGTTTGCGTGTAAGAAGGCAGGAGGCACAGTGCTGGCAGAACCAGGGACAGATGCCATTTTAAGATCCAAGTTTTACTCTGGGTCATTGTCCACCGGAGTTTCCCACACTCGCCTTCTGTGCACGCAGCATGGGAGGTCCCTGCCCTAGCAAGTGAGCCAGACAGCCAGGCTGCAAAGGAGCGCTCCTCATTGGAACAGGATGAAAATCCCAGCACCGTGAGCCACACTGGAGACAGGCAGGATGTGAGGAGGTCTGAGAGAAGCCCTGCTGCCCTGCAGCGTGAGCCGTGCTGCGCAGTCTCCCTCCCTGGCAAATGTGCTTGGCACACACAGACACAAAGCACTGAGAGTCACACTTGAATATCAAACTCCTCATTCCCTTTCCTGTTCATAGCAGGAAGAAAAAAAGCTTAGCTGGGATTTCAATGCCTCTCCAGCTACCTGGAGACATTTCGGATCTGGGGTTTGGGGTTAGTTTGGAAGCACAGAGCCTGGTCTGGAGTGAGGCCAGTGAGGTGGGCCCAGACAGGAGCGTGTCAATTTCTGCATCCTGACAGGCTTCCCCATGGGTCACACTGCCAGTGGCCGGCACTCCAGCCAGCACTGGGAGCCCCTGGGGAGTGCTGACGGCAGTCACACCGGATGGCCACACACCTCAAGAGCCTCGGACAGGACCTGGAAGTAGAGCACTACCAGGTGTGTCCCTGGCATCCAATGAGAGGTATTCCCTGGACAACAGGAAACAACCTGGGTGGCTGAGCCACCCCAAGTGGGGAGCTGAGATCCCTGGGACAGAGGCAGGCAGCCTGGGAGTTCTTTGTCAGGTAAAGTAGCAGCCTACCCACAGGAAGGGAGCCCACACCTGAGGCCAAACTAGCCTGCAGAGGCATCAGGCCATACCCTGCCCATCCCTGCTGCCCCCATCCTCCACCCACCATCCCATCTGCACAGGAGGAGCCAGGACCAACCTCCAGAGAAGTGCTCCTGACACACTTTTATGTGGCCAGTTTCCTACAGTCTCGCCCCAAGTTGCTTATGCTGCAGCCTCAGCTGTGTTCACTTCTGTGCTTTGGCTTTGAAAGGAGGCAACGGGGGCCCTCCTGAGCAAGCAGGAAGCAGGCGGCAGAAGAAGGAGGCCTTTCTCCTTCCTTCTCACCAACCTCTGTGACCAACCCAGATCCCCAGGCCCAGTGTGGCCCAGGAGCCAAGCCATGCTTGCTTGTGTTCCCTGGTCCCCAGCGCCAGCCCTTATCACAGTCACACAGCCTAGGGCATCACCTCATCATTGCTCATCTCAGGCTGAAGGGGCTAGACCCAGGCCTGCAGGACGTGTTGACGCCTGCTGGAGGGGGTCCTGGGGAAGCCAGCAGCATGGGCTCTGACCGAGATTTCTTTCTTTCATGCAGGTTCCTTTGAAGCTCCTGCTGGGAAAGGCCTCCACACCCTGTGCCTGCTGCCTGGGCCTCTCCGGATACTGGGGGTTGGGGGTAGGGGCGTATCTCCAGTGTGACCCCTAGCCATCTGCACTCACCCAGGCTCCAGGAGCTGCTTCCTAACCTTGGATCCACCCTCATACCCCTTGTGCATGGTCTCTAAGAAACACTGGCCAACCAGCTGTGGTCATGAAGGGGAGGAAGGACAGAAGGGAGGAGCGGAAAGGAAAGCAAGGAGGGGAGGAGGGAAGGAAAGCCATTTGAGTGGTCTTGATTGCCAAAGTCAGGGGCTCAGAGCCTCTGGCATCCTCTGAGTGCAGCCAGAGCCACCAGGCCTGATAAAGGAGTGAGAAGACTCAAGTAGTCTCAGGCCCTCCGCTTGTGGAAAGTTCCAGACTGCCCTGACCATGCAGCCAGAATCATGTATCGTGTGCATGAGCATACACACACACATCAGCTTTACAAAAGAGCTACTGATTTCTTTTTCCCCTGGGGCGGGGATGTACAATCCCTGTGGAGGTCCCTTTAAGAAGCATTCCCTATCTTGCAAATTCTGTAGAGTGCTAGGTGGGCCTGGCCATGGAAGGCTCTGCATGGTGGGAGTTCCCTGTCCAGCGTGCATGTCCTTGTGTTTTACACAGAAGCCAGCATCCACACCCAAGCCCAACCCCAGGAAAGTAGCTGACCATGGCCACAGCAGCCTGCAGCTTTTGATGGCGGCTTACGTGGGCCAAGACCCTACCAGCGCTGGGGGCTACATGGTTCTGTCTCACTGCAGCCCTGTACGTCCTTCCAACATGAAAAGCACAACTTCACATGTACACAGTCAGGACGGCACAGCCAGCAGACAGCTGTGGGCTCTGGGATGAGGTGCTATAGCTGTGGTGGTTATGGACCGAGCTCGCCTGCAGCTCGCTGTGCAGTCAGAAGGGGCGGGCTGAGGAAGCGCCCACCCAGGCCTCTCTGGACCCCAGGAATGAACTCACTGCATGGACTTCAGGGCCTGGACTCCTGCCCTGGCACCTCCAGGCAGCCTCAAGGGTGACACTGCTGCCGCCCGAAGCCAGTCGCATGCTGCAGCCAGAAGGAATCCCGGGGTTTGCGGCCAAGCCCCTGTGATGTTTCCCATCCCCAAACTCCAACCCCCAAGGAAGCACCCCCACTTCCGGCTGCCTGCTCAGGAGGGGCAGAGCCTGTGGGCTCCCTGCAGCCTGCTTCAGTCCAAGAGTGGACTGGAAGGTGTGTGATGAATAAAATGCAGCCTGCCACCTCTTTGGGCTATGTGCTTTGTCAAGCCACTTGCTGGCCCACCTTGTCCTCCAGGGATCCCCTGAGACGCAGAACAGTTCCCTCCCAGGCCACAGGAGACATTCACCTGAGGGAATGGGGAGATGGACCCAAGCATTTCCATGGCCTCCAGCTGCAGGAAATTTTTGCCCATGGCCAGGCCCCAGGCCCCAGGCCCCAAGAGTCTGATCTGTAGGAATGGGACTCAGGATAGTCATGAAGCTGCCCAGGTGAATGTCAACGGGCAGCCAGGGTCTGGAAGCTCCCCATGTAGACACAAGACACATACCTGACTGCAGGAGCCAGCCACATGGCTCCCTCAGGGCCTCACTCATTCCAATCTCTAAGCTGGGACAACAATCCCATCCCTCCACCTCTCAGACACCTCAGGAGAAGTAGCAGGGATGCCGAGAACTCTGGAAAGTGCTCCTCGAGGCAAGCTGTCAGCTTTGTAAGGTATTGTTTATGAAGACAAGGGACTGGGATGCTTCTGCCACTTCCTCAGGGCAAAGCGATGGGGGACCCTCCCACAGTGCTGACTGGGAAGATGCTCCTCCCAATGGGGCCTCTGTCCTTGCACACCTGATTCTCAGTAGAACCCCATGGCCACTGCCTAGATTCAGGGAGCCGTCCATACCCTCCACCCCAACTTTGCCTGTCTTTAAGTTGACCCCCGCCCCCGAAGCAGGGCTTGTGGGGTCTCATACACACAATCCATGGGCCAGCTCCTTGCCTGTCCACCTCCCAGGCTGATAGGACACTGCAAAATGAAAGGATGCGAAGCTTCCGGCAGCTGGCCTGTAGAGGCGCTGGACGGCCTTTTCCCCACCAGTGTTGGTTTGTTTTTATTCTAATCAAGGCACCAGCTTACTTCCATGCTCTGCCCATATGCTGAGTGCTGGTCTTCAGGTTTTGAGGAAAAGACGTTCCTATGGCTCGATTTCTGGCCAAGGTCCATCAGCTGGCCCACGGAACAGAGGGGCCTGGGGACACCCATGAGCTCACCTCCCTGCTGGGCTCTCCAGCTGAACCCCAGGTGTGTGATAGACACAGGTGCAGATTCACCTGCATGGAAGTGGTCCAGAGCCAGGGAGGAGGCAGAGGGCAGGTACAACAGCCTGGTGGCTAAAGTCTATACCTTGCATACACACCAAGATCCCATACGGGGACTGGTTCGTATCCCAGCTGCTTTACCTCCCTTCTAGCTCCCTGCTTGTGGCCTGTGAAAGCAGCCAAGGA